AATGCTTAGTTCTGGAGAGGAATTTTAGGCCCGGGCAGGACTCGATCCCGCAGTTCATGTTTACCCAGCGAGTGCGCTGTCCATTGCTCCACCGGATTAGCCTCTTATCATCTCAGCTCAATGGTTCCTAGGCCCGATATGCAATTGATGCCCTTCGCACTCCTTCGGCCCCAGAATAGCGATAAAGTGCATTGGCGGATCCCAGCGGGATACTTTTCTTCCTCTCAGAACTTCCTCTCTGAAGCGTTTACCGTCGCTTTTATTGCTATGGAGTCTTTGCTAGAACTCCAGAAGAAGCAATCTGGAAGGCTGGAAGCGCTCGTGAATAGAAAGATGAGCCCCTTGAGTTTTCATGTTGCCGCGCGTCATCGTGGGGGACATCAAAATGTGTTTATATTTTCTTCGTCGCCTCCTTCGTCATTGTTGTGGGGTAGTGTTATCGACTGGATGGTTACACGCTCGCACGTACCCCCCCCCCACATAGACATGTACATGTGTAAATATTCACGAGAGGATGAACCAAATGTGATACCGTAAACAAGAAGTGGCCATAAACGGACGCCATTGCTGGCGCTTCATGGCTCAACAGCGCTAAGCCATCGATTGTTTCCTTATATTTGGAATTTTTGCATGGGAGAATTGTATCCTTCATTATTTTGCTTGTCCCGTATAATTTTCTTTCTTAAGATTTGCTTCTTTAGAATTCTATCTTGTTAACTGAACTGATCGTGCCCATCGCCAGGGGAGGGTCATTTGAAGGACTTTTTGCGTAAACCTGGTGCCACAGAAAGCAGTTGAGTGTTGTTCCTGAGCCAAGTGAGGGAAGGAGCTCTGTGGTGGATGAGCCATGTTCATTGAAAAAAATGGATTCCGCGCCACAGAACCCACAGTTTTACTCAAGTGGTCCTTCAAATGCCTTCCCCCAGCAGAGCTAAAATAATTAATACTGGCATACTTATGAAAGGCATTATTATTATTATTATTATTATTATTATTATTATGTTGTTATTATTATTATTACCATTACCATGGTCATTGCTGCTACTTGCCGCTTTATTATTGGCATTCTTATGATCAGTGGCACAGTTTGGCATTGACGTGTCCCTGATACAGGGCACCGTCGAAGAAAAATTTTGCAAAGTACGACCGTCCGACCGAATTCCTCCCTATTGCTCGTCCCCATTCTACTTACCATCCAACTTCCTGCCCCCTGGCCGATTTTCTTGACGCTTTTTCAGTTTTTTTTTTCAAAAATTCCCTCTCACCTTCAAAAAAGGAAAGTGCTGTCAATGCGCGACAAGGAAGGGTGATTGTAGCGTAACTGAATGATGAAAAACTGACAATAGCTAATCAATAACGAAAAAACGTTTTTCTTGAAGGAGGCGAATATGACCTCCTCTCTGGCGACCAAAAACGATCCCCTTCGCTAGTGATGCCACGCTTAAGAAATGCCCTGTTATGATATTGCCTGTTGTGTTCTTGCTAATTGCTTTATTTTCCTCACTTCATTGAGTACCATTTCGTAGCCTTACAAGAGGTTGAAAGCGTTCGCATTGAAGAAAACTGGTAATATGCCTCTCCGATGCAAGCTACTCCGGAGGTCTTTACCAACCCTCTACACCATCCGACAACCCTCAGCCTCACATTGAATCCTAAGAAAACCAAACGTGGAGAGGTTAACCAATTGCATTATCGATTGTATTGCTTGGTGAGACCGAGGTAAAGTCTGACTGGTTCTAAAATTTGCCAATCCAATTACTCGGCTTATTCGTTTGAATTTCGAATCTTGTGCTCGAAGGAGAGGTTAATCCTAGAGAGGGAGCATTTCTGGTCGTGTGGCCCATTTTCAAGACGGCTTGTTGCTTGTTGTGGTGCATGCAAGGATTACAAAAGTGGAAACCCTTTTACTGAAACTTCCAGGAATGTCGAGAAGGTGCAAGAAAGGTTCAGCGAGTTGATGACGAATTTGACCCTAGGAAATTCTAATCTTTTTTCAGGCAAAAGATTCTGGAGTTTTTCAGCTTGTTTACGTTCGAACAAAAGGTTCAAACTTGTAGGAACGCAAAAATTAGAAACTATAGAGCGCGGAATTTTGCCACCATTGGGATTCGCACCATCACATGAGCATAACTCTGTAACCCATATAGGCGTTAGGACGTGCCGCGATGTAGGCATGATGTCTCGCGATACATCAGTGATGAGCTCATCGCGTCTTACGTCATCCACCCTCTCCACTTCATTTCTTTAATTCTTTTTATGTTGGACTGCATTAAGCGCCGGGAAATGAGCACTTTCCTGAATGTTTCTCCCGGTACTAAAAGGAAGGAGCTCTCGCACGAGTGGGCGGATTTTTACGCAAGAAGGTTTTCCCGATTTCGTGAAAAGCTGTCCATCCATCCCAGAACCTTCAGTCCTCCCACCTCGAGAAGTGGGTGGCACATCCTTGCACGTGATGCACTGAACTCTCTAATGGACCAGTGCAATAATTGAGCTAATTTTGCTATAATTGAATTTATGGAGGTCATGAGAATGACTGGCTTGTTGCCATAGGAAAAGGAACAGAGCTCAACGAATGAACTTATCACAAGGCGAAAAAGAATCGTTGGCCACTCACAAGGCAAAGCGATGTTGCACTTGCCGACCAACGGCACGTGCGAAACGGAAACTGAAAATATTTTTGCCCCCCCCCCTCACCCCTTCAACATCAAGTTAATTGATTAACCTGGTTATCGTTATGGGCAAGATCTGTCCAGGTTCTACTGCTGAGCGACTAGTGCCGGCCATCAAGCGCTAACCGATAGCTGGCGCCAGTAGTTCAGAGGGGCCGAATCGCGGAGTATGAACGCTTATAAAATTAGGAGAAGTAGGACATTGAAAAGCTCCGGGCACAAATGAGATCAACCTCTCCTTAACAGAATCATCGCGCTTGAAAACTTGTCCGTCCATCTCGTACCGCTTCCCACCTTTTGGACATGGGCAAATGCTTTTATTCTTGCTGAGGGATGCGTACTTTTACAGAGAGAGTCCGTAAAATGCCCTTAAGGTTATTAGCAACAAAATTAGTTACATTACCAGCAAAATTGTTTCGTTTGTACAGATTCTACTCCATATCTGCCCTTTGGCCCCTTCTTAGCTGAGGTGTACTTATTTAGAGAGTAGATTAACTGCAGGTATCAAAAATTACAAAAAAAAAATGTTGAGCAAGGCTGCGAGTTGAATTGGGACAATTGAAGGGACGTCACTGCTATAGATCGTAAACTGGCATCATTTGATCGTTTGTTCTGAAGCGTGTTTCATCATCGAGAATCGCTTGAACGTATTGGCATTTCCTCTTTGATAGAATTAATTGCATGTGTCTCTTTTGGAAAACAATAAATAATCTAATCTATTTCATTCTCATCTAACGCCCCTCTTTAATTGAAAAAGTCGAGGCATTCGCGGATAAAAGTTTAGGTCGATGACAGGCCGAAGAAGTTATTACGAATTAGAATGTAGATCTTTGAAGCATTTTCCGTTGGTACATCCCTTTTTTCGGATAAGCCGTGCATTCCAATCGGGCACAGCACTCTGTGGAAAACACAACGGAGGGGGTCGTTTTTTAGACAAATGGGCGGCTTGGGTCGTTGAAAGTGCACGCTGCTTCAGAAATTTCCTCGTGAGGAGAATTCTGTAGTTTAACGTAGGCAGTACGCGAATCTCACACTTGGAAAAATTTCTAGCGAAAATTTTCCCTCTCAGCGCGCTTTGTCACTCATTGCTTCTGTGGGCATCAAGTATGAAATGTGAAAAGAGCATCATTTCATCTCTTAATGACCTTTTTGGGAAAAAGTGCTTCTTGCGGATACTTGTACTTCTTCTGGTGTCTTTTTAATGCTTGCCATGACTGAACAACTGCTTAATTGGCATCCTTAAAAAACGCTCTGCTCATCCTTAAGGCCCCGGTTTGCGCAGCCTGGGCTATGCTTGAGTGGGAATGTTCTTCTGGGGGTGGGCAATGTGTCCCAAGGGGCAGTTTGAATCGCTGAGTACGTATATCACATCCACTCTGGGGCGCCGGCACCAGAAGAACCTAAGACTCCGGCCATATTCGTTCACGGGAGTCAAGCTGCTTGTGAAAGCAACTATTCAGCGCGAACTTGGCGATCTGAGTTGTTTTCTGGTAGCGCTTTTAGCACGGAGCCAGGCCTTGTCTAGCGAATTGTATGTGGCGCCCGTATTCGAAACTCAAGCCATTTGATCCCAAAATTGTGGCCGCAAAGGGTATTTTGCGCCGAGTCGCAACGATCGGTCTTCTGACGTCCAGACGAATTTGTGTAGCGCTGACAGCTTTGAGAAGGTACTTCTCGCGGAAGAATATGCTTAGTTTCAGAGAAGGACGAAGTGTCGACGATGGTTTGCCGTCATACGAGACCGGCTCGATGACGTCTTTGCGACGAAATGCCCTCAATCCCGACGACGAATGTCAATTACCGGATACTAAACGTCATAAGAAAACTAGTGTCGGTAAGGATTTTGAGGGTTCTAGGAATCATAGCTGTGTTGACTTTCCATCGATTTATTTCCTTAATAATTACCATTCGTTACTTCCAAGCGTGAATTTGAAAATTGTGGAATCGTACAGGTGGAAGTGCGCGGCACAGGGCGCGTCCTGCTGCCGAGGATTTTTTTTGCAAAATGCAGCCCTCTCCCTCGATGTTCCCGCCCAGGTAAGGCCCCTTCCTCTTCCCATCCCATCTATAACCTTCCTAAATTCCAGAAAATTTCCTTTCTTTCCCTCCAGAGGAAGGGGCAGGGGGTAGGAGAAGCGGGCAAGTTGGGAATAACCGATACTGAAACCATTTTCCATGTAAGGTGAATACGGTCCCTTGTACCCCTCTTTTTCCCCCTTCCATTCAACGACCAAATATGTACGACCTCCTCGCTGGGGATCCTCAACGTACGGCCTGCCCTGGTACGACGCTTGCAGTAAACCTTCAGATGAGAAAACGCAGCGGTCTGGTGCTGAAAGTCCTGAGACAAAAATTTCTTGAGAAAATTAAGCAAGAAGGAAGTCTGGAGGTATTCCTGCTGAGAAGCAGCTTCGATTCTGAAGTAGGTATGAGAGCCTAGAAGAGTATACTCGAGGGACTTCCTGCAGAGTACGAAACGCTCAATATTGTCATTTTTTTCAAATCTCAGACTGGAGAAAAAAGTTGCTGCTTCGAGGAATCGGGAGGCAAGTTCGCAAAGGAGGGGGAAAGGCATTCTCATCTCACTAGATTCTGAAGAAGGCAATCTAAGAATCTGATAAGGGAAATCTGAAGAAAGAAGGGATTACCTCACTGCAACACTGCCTTTTTACGCAATGTCGGTTCACCCACCTCGGAGCTCCTGAGCTTAAAGGCTCGTCTCTATAACGGCCGTTCCACGTTTCCGCGAAAGGTTTTTGATGCCCCTTCTGCGGAATTTCGCCGATTTTCAACCCACACCTCCAACTGATTCTGGTTCGGCCGAAGTAGACGCAATGGGGGTCGGTTTCGGAAATCGGAAACCAATCAGACCAGTGATGTTGATTCGGACTGAGCTAACAGGAACAAGTTTGCATTGATCCTATTCCTTTTCCATTTTGCCCCTCCACAATAGCTTGATCCTTGGCTATTTCTCCAGGAGCGGTAGGCCTGAGAAAAATAAGGATAGTGCGGAAGTGGTAGTCCCTTGTTTTTCCAACTCGGCTTATCTCTTTCACAGTCTCCTTTAACTACTTCTCAGAAGGGCATTTGGAAGTCGTAGGCGTACGAAGAAGTCGTCAATGACGTCTAGGCGAGCGTTGCAGGGATTGGGAGGCATTTAGTGGTGTTTATTTCCTTACGCAAACGGCTCGTTGCACTTTCATCGGTCTTCCATATGACGCGCTTGGGATATTTTGCAATTTCCGAAAGAAAAAACGAGCTTTGAATGGAACATCTGCGGAAAGACGTCATACGTCAAACTGATGCGCTCGGGAGCATGCCCCATTACAGAATGAT